TCATTTTGACGGTTGACGTAATATCGATCGTAATTGTATTTCTTTAATATTTTCCGATATTAATTAATTATTTAGTGTACAAATAGATTTCGTATAAAAGAAAAGTAATTTCTTAAAAAAATAATAATAATCTCGGTGTTGTTAAGAGAGCCCTCGTAGCACCTCTAGCATTTGTCATATCATCATGCCTGAGCGCGCGAAATTTCAGCTCTGTGATTAGCCTACTTTAATCGCTACTAATTTAAAAACTATTATAACCTCGACATATTCGTATTAGGATTTTTGTCTTAGAATATTCTAAAGAATCCGCACTTAAAAGGAAATCCGCGAGTTTTGGGACACCCTGTATATATAACAGTATATAATTATATTATTTAGAACGTTTTTTTTATTTTATTGACAAATTATAACATAATGCTACATTATATTATTTAGAACAGTTTGTTATTGTATTGAGTAAAAATTATAAATAATACTATATTATATTATATGTAAGGTTCCAGGAAAAAAATTTTCATATAAGGGCATATATAAATATACATAAGCATAAAGAAATATATATAAATATATACAAAATATGTCTATATATGTTCATATTAGTTTCTTTCTTTTGTTAAATTTCTGTTTGATGCAAGAAAAGTAATAATCATAATGAGGAGACATAAGAAATAATTATCACATTGGTTTTTTTTTTAAATCAAGTTTAAAAAATCAGAACAAATTACTTATTTAAAATCATTTGTACCTAATATATCGTATATTAAGTTTTAATTATATATGTATATGTAAATATATATGGGCTATTCCACGTGAAGCGGATCAGTCATCTCTCAGAAATTTTTTTAATTTTGCACAAAGGTAGTACTTTGGGAGATAGAATTTTGTGCCAAAGGATTTTTTTCTTATTGCAAAATTAATCGAGATATAAACATTAAAAATTAGACCACTTTATTTTTCAAAAATTCATAGCTCTGTTACTAATAATGCTAGCTAACTACTTTTTTTTTCAAAATACGCGAAAAATGTTCTAGTTTACGACAAAAAAATGAAGATTCCTAAAAATGTTTTGTTTTCCATTGTTTATTTAACAATAAACTTTTCAACAATTTTTTAACAATCGGGGAGAGTCGAAAATCTGAAAAAATATTTTTTATATACTTTCAGTTTTCCTATATCTTAGAAAAAAAAACTCAAGAACGTATTTTGCCTCGTTTTCGAGAAAAAAATTTTTTTAGTTCTTGATGTGGAGAAAATCTGTCGACTCTCAGTGTGCGACTCTTACAAAAACAGCCAAACCTACAAAATATCTCTACCATACTGCTAGTATGTTGTTCGCAGCCGCTGTTTTGTATTGCCTGGAAAGTCAATACTTTATAAAATTGACTTTACAATATTTAACTCTCCAAACAATTTTATCATTTATTCCGACGATTTCGACTTCTCGCTTGCGTTTTTTTTATTACAGTCTGCTGTACAGTAAATACCTAATCTTGCGTTATGATTATTATCAAGTATTTTGTTGCATTATAATTATATTATGTAATTATATTTTGTTGTATTATTATTATGTTATAATACAACAAAATACATAATAATAATTATACTAACTGTTATTATAATTATACAGGGTGTCCCGTAACGCTTAATTAATATTTCAAGGCGTGAAAGAGAATTAAATTTTGAACTAAAAGTTCCTCTTTCAATTTTGGCTTAGACCATTATTTACAGAGTTATTAACGAATAAAGTTAATCAATTAGATCGCGTTTAGCCGGAGTACGCAGGAGCGTAGCGTGCCGTACGTGCGGCTCTTCGCGCTCACTTCACAGGTAAATGTATGTGAAGTGAGCGCGAAGAGCCGCACGTACGTAAGATTATAACTTATAATATATTATAATTATAATTATAATTATATAATTATATATTATAATTATATAACTGATTGTCAAGCGCACGGCAATGGATTACCCCCACCACGCGCCACCCACTAGGCGCGCGGGGATGGTGCCTGCGGTCCGCGGCGGGCGGGGATATCTCGCCGCGCATTCAGATTCAACGAGTTTATATATTAATATCTCGAAAACTATTGCGAAAATCGCAAAATGGTAGAGGACTTTTTGTTCAGTTTTGTCCACACTACCTCCCCACAAGCGCTGTACCATTGAGTATGAGACACCCTGTATATATATATATATTGTCACGTGCTCCCGTGAAATAACTAATTCGCGCGAGCACGGATCAAACAAGTGATGGGAACCGCGTGCGATTCCGCGGAGGGAAGGTGACCGTCCTCCGGGATGTGTCCCTCCTGCGTCCGACGAGGAGCGGCAACGCGAAAAGCTGGGCGCCAGACGTGTTCTCGGTCACGTCGCTCGCGAAACGTAACGATTACCGAAATTCTTACACGCGACGACACTTGACCAGTAAACGCCGCTCCCCAACGTCGATCGCACGAGGGCCGGCCGGCTCCACCTAACGGCAGAGGGGCAGGGCGAGGAAAAAGGGCGAAGGGATGGCGCGGGGCGGGCGAAAGAATTTGTACTCCGAGTTAATAACAAAAATGATAACAAGGTTTATTGGCCGTTCGGAACGGCAATGATGAACGATGAAAGGAAAAGAAA